GGGTGGAGGGCTACTTACTAAGTTTTGGCAGGAGAAGGGCCGCATGATTAGCCCTGCCCCTTGACAGGTACCCCACCCCCATGCTCTGTACAGGGCCTGAAATGATAGTGTCATTATGACAAGATGCCATACCTTCATGAAGAGCTCTGCGAGCTAATGCTTCAAATTCTGCAAAACTGTGAAGCAAGTAGCAGTGTTCCTCCTTGGGATACGAAGCCATGTCATTCAGCTCTCGGATGTTGCCTTGCCATATCCCAAACGTGAAGATCTCCACTCCTAGTTCACGCAAGGATGCTGCGATTGGTCTCGGGTCACCCCCATTGGAATACCCATCAGTAATGAGGAAGATTGCCTTTGTGGCATTCCCACGAGAATGACGCAGTATTTGCTGTAAGAGTGTAAAACAGTACATCTCAGACAGAAGGTTAGTGACAGGTACTGTATCCTAGGGTGCAGCTTCTTTTATGTGGATGGCTATCTGACTCAATCTAGTCTTTGCTAGACCACCCATTATTGTTAAAGATCAATCTGTGAGCAAAGATTGTGGTTAAAATGTCAAAAACTGACTCATAGTTTGCATGCCTAGGGACCAGCTATGATGCAGACACCATGAATTTGTGCCACTGGGCCAGTCAACCACTTTTCACAGCGATGAACTATATTTTCTGCTCTAGCAGAGAGCAAAAAGAAATACTCAGTTCCAGCACAAGCTCCTCATGCTGGGAAGATTTCAGCTTTACTGACTAGCTTAAAAGTAGGATGGATAAAATAAATGTTGCAGCTACATCAGATCCACTGGGCCAGATCCATATCTGGTGGACATCAGCCTAACTGTACCACACACACATCATCTCTATAGATACGTGAAAAATTTGAAAAACTAAGTTAGTTACAATTTTTAAAGCTGGAGACCTTGGTCACAAACAACGTGCCTTTAGCATTCTACCTTTTTTTTGTAGTAAATTCCCTGCCCTACAAGGTAAGTTCTACTGAATTATACATAAAAATGTATAAACACCATCTTTTTGTTCCTATAGAATGAGATAAAACAGAATGGTTATTAACCTGCAGCAGATATTTACAGAAAATGTCTGTCTGATGGACAGCGAATGTCTTACTCTGAGGAGGGGGAGTGAACCCAAGTCAAATCAGGCTCTCTTATGATCAGGGATCCTGGTTTTCTGTTTAAAAATCCCAAACTCTCTGATAAAAATAAATAAATAAATAAATAAATAAATAAATCACAAATTCTCTGATTAAAGCCCCCCAAATATACATTTTTCTGTGATTAAAATGAAACACCACTCTCTCTCTCTATCTATATCTACAGAGGTATCAGTTGAACACATGGTTTTCTTGATACTTTTACCATTTTAAAGTAATGTGGATGCCTAACAGTGCCTCAATTGTTATAATAAAATAAATTCTAAATACCTATATATTTTGGCATTTGAAATTTTTTTTATCATGGAAAATCAGAGCTCTCCCTGACCCCTTCACTCACCAGGATGCGGGTCCAGCTGCAGCTGTCCTGTCCCCCGCACTGCTTTGTGGTGCTGAGCAGCTCTGCCCCTTCCCATGATATTGCCCCTCACTCCCAAGCCACAGCCCTCCCAGTGCTCCTCCAACTAAATGACCCTA